GATGGGTCCTCGATCTCCCTGACCTCGTCGATCCGCCCGCCTCGGCCTCCCAAGTGCTGGGAATTTACAGGAGTTGAGCCACTGCCCCCGGGCCCTGGTTTTACTTCTTTATTACTTCCTTGCTCCTCATTCATCTGATAAACATTGTTTCTATAGATTATAGATTAACTAAAATGGGAAACAAAGGGATGGGCTCTGGCTAGTTATCTGCAGCAGGAACATGTCCTTAAGACACAGATCACTCATGCTATTGTTTGTGGCTTAGGAATGCCTTGAGTGGTTTTCTGCACTGGGTGGGCCAGGTTTCCTTGCCCTCATTCCAGTAAACCCACAACCTTCAGCGTGGGTGTCATGGCCATCATGAACATGTCACAGTGCTGCAGAGATTTTGCTTATGGCCAGTTTTGGGGCCAGTTTATGGCCAGATTTGGGGACCTGTTCCCAACACCTGAAATCAATCCCTTCAGATGATTTCTGTGTCCAGGGAAGAGAGAAGTTCACTACCCTAAGGCCTTATTGCATCCAACCTTGTCTTTTCAGTATATATAGCAGCTTCTAGAGCTGTTTTTACTTCCTGTTTTTTGAGTTGTAAATCAATATCTTATAATTATATACATTTACAAGGTCAAAGTGATGTTATAATTTGTGAATACAATGTGAAACAATGAAATCAAACAAATTAGCATATCTATCACCTCAAATACATATCCTTTTTTTGTGGTGAGAACATTTGAAATTTACTCTCAGCAATTTTGAAATGTACAATAAAACTTATTCATCTTGTGTAAATGAGATTTTATACCCTTTGACAATCATCTCTCCATTTCCCCCATTGCCAGCCTCTGTAACCACCATTCTATTCTCTGCTTCTATGCGCTTGTTTGTTTTATATTGCACAAATAAGTGAGAAATTGTGGTATTTGTCTTTCTGTGCCTGTCTTTTTTCACTTAGCATAATGTTCTCCAATTCCATTCATGCTGTCAGAAATGACAGAATTTCTTCCTTTTTTAAGGCTGTATAGTATTTCATTGTACTTATTTATTTATTTTTATTAATATTATTTTTATTTATTTTATTGTTTGTTTATTTATTTATTTATTTATTTATTTATTTTGAGACAGAGTCTTGTTCTGTCACCCAGGCTGGCGCAATCTCGGCTCACTGCAAGCTCTGCCTCCTGGGTTCATGCCATTCTCCTGCCTCAGCCTCCCGAGTAGCTGGGACTACAGGCGTGTGCCACCACGCCTAGCTAATTTTTGTATTTTTAGTAGAGATGGGGTTTCACCATGTTAGCCAGGATGGTCTCGATCTCCTGACCTCGTGATCTGCCCACCTCAGCCTCCCAAAGTGCTAGGATTACAGGCGTGAGCCACCGCGCCTGGCCCCTCCATTGTATTTGTAAACCACATTTCCTCTATCCATTTGTCTGTTGGAGGACACTTAGGTTGGTTCTATCACTTGGCTATTGTGAAGAGTGCCACAGTGAACATGGAAGTGCAGCCATCTCTTTGACAAACTGATTTCAAATCTTTTTGGTAAATATGCAGACATAAGATTGCTGGATCATGTAGTAATTTTGTTTTCAGTTTTTTAAGGAACCTCCCTACCATTTTCCACAATGGTTGTACTAATTTACATTCCTACCAATACTTCTTAAGTCTAGTATTTAGTTGGGTAAAATAAGGCCTACCTCTATAAAAAGTCAAATAGTAGAAAGTACTCTATGATTAATGCCAAATTCAATAAATGCTTGTGGAAGAAGAGTTCACTACAGGCCTGAATCAAAGATTTTATGGAGAAAAGACAGGCAAACATTTTCAAAGAGAGTCTGAATTCCTGTGTTTCAATCTGGATCAAATCCAAGCGTATTAACTCAACATGTTTTCTATATCTACATCCTGCAGAGTATCCAAGATGAAGGAGAATGTTAAACAGAATAGAAAACAAAGAGAACACATAGACAAAATCAAAGTCAAGGTGGCCAACACACGGAAACAGGCTCTGCAGGAGCAATTTGATGAATGGATTCTAGACCCTAAAGGAATGATTCCTAAGACAGTGGTAAGAAAATTGGGGGTATATGTGAAAGGTAGGTCGGGTAAGTGGTAAGAGGGCAATTGCTAGAATACTGAGTAGCATACTAGAAGCCTCCCTTGAAATTTTCAGTATTGCTGAGGTAAGTCTTGACCTGTCTGGTCCATGAGATTGATTCCTTCAATTTCTCTTGAGCATTACATAAAAAAAAAAAAAAAAAAAAAAAATTCTAGCTAGATTTCTAAAATCTTGACTCTGGCTGAGGTTCCCAAACTCATCATTGTAAACCGAAATATATTTCATTTGTTTGTTTTGTGTGTGTGTGTTTTTATGTGTGACTACTTCAGTGAGACCTGCAAGACTGTCTCTTAGCTCTAGAGAACAGCCATACTCTGAGAGTTAAATGCTTTCTCTTAAGTGTATACGGATTTGGAAATACTTTTTCATTAGATACAATGCTAAGCATATTTTCAGTTTATAGTGAATGATTAAAAATAGATCAGGGAAGACAAGTCACAGACTGGGAGAAAATATTAGCAGAAGGCATATCTGGTTGGGTGTGGTGGCTCACACCTATAATCCCAGGACTTTTGGAGGCCGAAGTGGGAGGATTGCTTGAGGCCAGGAATTTGAGACCAGCCTAGCCAACATAGGGAGACCCGGTTTTGACAAAAAAAATTTAAAAATTATCCAGGCTGTGGTTCCAGCTTCTCAGGTGGCTGAGGTGGGAGGATTGCTTGAGTCCAGGAGGTCGAAGCTGCACTGAGCCATGATCATGCCACTGCACTCCAGCCTGGGGAACAGAAAGAGACCCTGTCTCTTAAAAACAAAACAATAACAACAATAAAATATATCTATATATGTGATATATATGATATATATATATCATATATATATCACATATATATGTCACGTATATATATCTGATAAATGACTGTTATCCAGAATATACAAAGAACTCTTAAAGGCTGAACAATGAGAAAACAAACAGCCTGATTCACAAAAGAAAGTGTACATATGGCAAATCTTATTTGAAAGCATATGAAAAGATGCCAGACATCACATGTCATTAGGGAAATGCAAATTAAAACTTCAATGAGATACCACACACACCATTTAGAATGGTCAAAATTCAAAACACTGGCAACTCCAAATGCTGGTAAGGATGTGAAGCAGCAATAATTCTCATTCTTTGCTGATGGGAATGCAAAATGGTATAGACTCTTTGACAGACAGTTTGGCAGTTTCTTAAACATAATCTTAAAAGACAAATACTGAATTATTCCACTTATATGAGGTATCTAAAGTAGTCACATTCATAGAAACAGAATGTAGAATGGTGGTTGCCAGGGACTTGGAGGAGGGGAAGGGGAGTTATTTAATTCAGGGGTCCCCAACCCCTTGTGGCGTGGTAGGAGGTGGTCCATATAGCAGGATGCGAGTGGCAGTCAAGCAAGCAAGGAAAGCTTCATCTGTATTTGCAGTCACTCCTCATCACTCTCATTACCACTTGAGCTCCACCTTCTGTCAAATCAGTGGCTGCATTAGATTCTCATAGGAGCACAATAGGAACCCTATTGTGAAATGTGCACGCGAGGATCTGGATTTCATGCTCCTTATGAGAATCTAATGGCTGATGATCTGTCACTATTTTCCATCACCCCCAGATGGGACCATCTAATTGCAGGAAAACTAGCTCAGGACTCCCACTGATTCTACATTGTGGTGAGCCATATAATGGCTCATAATCTATAATGTAATAATAATAGAAACAAAGTACACAATAAATGTAATGCGCTTGAATCATCCCAAAACCATCCTCCCCCAATCCCTGGGTCTGTGGAAAAAATGTCTTCCACAAAACCAGTCCCTTGTGCTAAAAACAATGGGGACTGCTGGCTTAATGGATATAGAGTTTCAAGTTTGCAAAATGAAAAACTTCTGGCTGGGCACAGTAGCTCACGCCTATAATCCCAGCATTCTGGAGGCTGAGGCAGGAGGATTGCTTGAACCCAGGAGATCAAGACCAGCCTGGGCAATATAGTGGGACCCTGTCTCTACAAAAAATTTTAAAAATTAGCTGGACATGATGGCATATGCCTATAGTCCCAGCTACTTGGGGGCTGAGGCAGGAGATAACTTGAGTCCTGAAGTTTGAGCCTGCAGTGAGCTATGATGGTGCCACTGCACTCCAGCCTGGGTAACAGAGACCCTGTCTAAAAAAAGAGACAGAGAGAAAGAGAGAGAAAGAGAAAGAGAGAAAGAGAGAGAGAGAAAGGAAAGGAAGGAAGGAAGGAAGGAAGGAAGGAAGGAAGGAAGGAAGGAAAGGAAGAACGGAAGAAAGAAAAAAAGAAAAGAAGAAGAAAGAAGAAAGAAAGGAAGGAAGGAAAAGAAAGAAAGAGAAAGAAAGAAAGAAAGAGAGATAAACTTCTGGAGATTTGTGACTATGTTTACACATATATACATACACTTAAGAATGGTTAAGTTGGTAAATTTTATGTTATGTGTTTTTTACCACACATAAACTAAACTAAACTAAACACACTCTTAACCTATGATCCAGCAATTGCTCTCCTTAGTATTTACCCAAATAAATTGAAAACTTATATGTACACAGAAACCTGCACACAGATGTTTATAGTAGCCGTATTCATAATATCCAAAGCCAGAAAGCAACTAAGATACCCTTTACCGGAGGAATAGATAATAATGTGGTGCATCTATACAGTGGAATATTATTCAGTCCTAAAAAGGAATGATCTGTCAAGCCATGAAAAAGCAAGGAGAAACCATCAATGTGTATTACTAAGTAAAAGAAGCCAATCTGAAAAGGCTACATGCCGTATGATCCTAACTATTTGAAATTCTAGAAAAGACACAATCAGAAAGATAGTAAAAAGATCAGTGGTTGCCAGGAATGAGGGGGGGAGGGATTTTTAGGGGAGTGAAATAATTCTGTATAGTGCTATAATGGTGGATATATGTGATTATACTTTGTCAGAGCCCATACCAAGAGAGACCCCTATTATAAACTATGGACTTTGGGCGATAATGACATATCAATGTAGCTTTATTGACTGTAATAAATGTGCCACTCTGGTGCAGGATATTAATAATAGTACATAGCTGTGTATGTGTATAGTATATGTGTGTGAGCTCTTTGTACTTTCCGCTCAATTTTGCTGTGCACTTAAAACTTCTCTAAAACATAAAATGTTTTTAAAAATGGACCAAGAAGAACTCGGAAATTTCATTTTTAGTAATTGAAGAACGAGAAAGTATAGAGGATTCTTTGGATGGCCAAAGTGCTTGCCAAAAGTGCCTTAGCTCCATCGTGCCGTGTCTGAGAGTTGCTAGAAATATCCCCTGGAGGGGGCAAAATGGGGTCACTGTCAGCATCCCAGTCCTAATCACACAAAAGGTTGGGAATCATTGAGAATATATGTGTAAAATAACTTTATATACCCTTCAGTATTCTAAGAGGAGACTTCAAAAAGTGTGTGGAAAAATTGAATTAAAAGATAATAAAAATATAAACTTTATATCTCAACATAAGCTCCGTCAGGCTGGGTGCCATGGCTCAGGCCTATAATCCCAGCACTTTGGGAGGCTGAGGCAGGAGGATCGCTTGTGCCCATGAGTGCGAGACCAGCCTGGCTAACATGGTGAAACCCTGTCTCAAATATTAGCTTGGTGCAGAAGTAATTGTGGTTTTTGCCATTACTTTTTAAATGGCAAATAAATAAATAAAAAGAGGCTCCCTCAAGTTTAAGGCACTTGTAAGTGATGATACCAGCCATTTAGTCCATCCCTAAAGAGCTGAGGGTTCTCAGAATTTAATCATTTCAATGCAGTCTTTTTTGCATTATTAACTGATGAAAAATAGGTGTCCTTTAATGATTTTTTTTAAGATTAGAAAATAAAAATTCAGAAGGAGCTAAATCAGGACTATAAGGTGGATGCCTAATGATTTCTCATTGAAACTCTCACAACATTGTTCTTGTTTTGTTAGTGGAGATGGGTGTTGCTATTTTGTCCAGGTTGGCACAAACTCACAGTTCTTCTACCTTAGCCTCCTGAGTAGCTGGGACTACAGGTGTGTGCCACTGTGCCCAGCTTGCCCTTGTTTGATGAGAAGAATGAGCAAGAGCATTGTTATGGTGGAGAAGGACTCTCTGGTGAAGCTTTCCCAGACATTTTTTTTGTTAAAGCTTTAGCTAGCCTTTCTCAGAACACTCTCATAGTAAACAGATGTTATTGTTCTTTGGTCTTCCAGAAAGTTAATTAGCAAAATGCCTTGAGCATCCCCAAAACTATTGCCATGACTTTTGCTCTTGATCAGTCTGCTTTTGCTTTGACAGGACCTCTTCCACCTCTTGGTAACCAGCCATTGCTTTGATTGTGCTTTGTCTTCAGGATCATACTGGTAAAGCCATGTTTCATCTCCTGTTACAATTCTTGGAAGAAATGCTTCAGGATCTTCATCCCACTTGTTTAAAATTTCCATTTGAAGCTCTGCTCTTGTCTGCATCTGGTCTGGGTGCAATGGTTTTGGCACCCACTGACTGGAAATTCTTTCAACTTTAATTTTTCAGTCAGAATTGTGTAAGCAGAGCCAATTGAGATGTCTATGTGTTGGGTATTGCTTCTGCTGTTAACTTTTAGTCCTCTTCAATAAGGTCATGAGCAAGACGATTTTTTTTCTTGCAAATTGGTGTGGATAGTCTGTGCTATGGGCTTTATCTTCAACATCATTTCATCCTTTCTTAAAATGAACTATCCATTTGTAAACTGCTGATTTCTTTGGAGCATCGTCCCCATAAACACTTCATAAAACACCAGTGATTTCACCATTTTTCCCGCCAAGCTTCACCATAAATTTAATGTTTTTGCTTCAATTTTAGCAGAATTCATGTTGCTCTGATAGGGGCTCTTTTCGAACTGATGTCTTATCCTTTTTAGTTCTTCAAGCTAGATCTTGTTCAGACATAACAAGTTTCAACAAGTTTATTTTGGTGCAAAAAAAAAAAATTGAAATCCATGCATTTTTTTTCATAATACACATTTTCCATGAACTTTTTGAAGACCCCCTTGTAGAAAGTCCATATGACTTACTACTATTTCTGTCCTTGGGTTGGAAAGATCACCCAATACTAAAATAGAAAGACTATAGATGGTTTTTAGTCTAAAATAACAAATATGTGGTAACTGAGGAGTGGCATATGGTTTCTTTCTTTTTTTCCTCTTTTGATTTGCAGATTCAGAATGTTCTTCATGAATTCTTTCAAAATCCAGATTTCAAGCTAGGTAAGTCTGCCTATTACTCTGATATTTTTATTTTTATTTCTTTTTTGGGTGGGGGACACTGAATTCAGATGGAAAGTCAACATAAGACAGATGTAATTCAAAGCTCTTGCAGGTGCAATTAGCCTCTTCCATGCTGTCCAGATAGAGAATGTATAAAAGCAGAAACGCAATCTGTGATTCTCAGCCCTTTTAGTCTGGTGTCCATTTTATTACCAGTACTCTGCAATACTCTTTTATTATCCTATGACATTCCTAGAAAATATTCCTTACATACACAGAGTTTTAAAAGAAAGATAAGATGTCATACTGTGATATAAAGGAGAAATATAAGGAAAGGCATAAGAAAATTGTATGCACTGGTTGCAGTGGCTCATGCTAAGATTTAACAGAGTTGAACATTGCCTCTGTCAATTCCTTAGTTTGAATTTCCTTGACTCTACCCACTCATATCCTACACCTTACCTATAACCCTCCTGGAGTCATTCTCTGTTTCTCAAATGTTGTTTCTTGAGTTCCCTTTCCATGTTACATAAATTTCCCTGGATAATCTCATCCAGTTCTGTTACTATATATACTAGGCTTAAGACTTCTTCAGAGGCCAGGCATAGAGGCTCATGCCTGTAATCCCATCACTGTGGGAGGCCGAGGTGGGTGGATCATTTGAGGTCAGGAGTTTGAGACCAACCTGGCCAACATAGTGAAAGCCTGTCTCTACTAAAATACAAAAATTAGCCGGGTATGGTGGCGGGCGTCTGTAATCTCAGCTACTCGAGAGGCTGAGGCAGGAGAATCACTTGAACCCAGGAGGTGGAGGTTGCAGTGAGCCGAGATCATGCCACTGCACTGCAGCCTGGGTGACAGAGCGAGACTCCTTCTAAAAAAAAAGAAAAGAAAAGAAAGAAAATTATATGCACTGTGTTTCAATATATAAATGCTTTGTTATAACTTCACTATAAGACATGATAATCAGACATTTCTACCTACTTATAATGTACCTTTAGATATAAGAAAAGTAAAATTATATACGGTTGACCATTTTATTTGTATTTGACATTTTGGAATAGGGCAAAATGAATATATATACATAGAATTCCCAGAAATGCAGACTGATACAAATGTGTTGTATTACAATTCAGATACAATTTATGTTACTCCCTATTACACAATTTCTGAAACCGCAAACAACTCTAGGTAAAGTTCCAGAATTAAACAAAGTATATACTTCCCCCTCAAATTTTCATAGAAGTTACATTTTTGGAAAATTCCACAGCAAAATTATATTCTGCATTCATATGTAAAATAGAATTGGGTTCTAGGTTCAAAATTATTATAAGCAGGTTTTTCATCTACTCGAATGTCCTGCAGGAGGGGGAAAGTCTTTATTGTGCAGAAATTACAGGAGTTCTGCCTCTGCTCCTATTCCTCATCATTGTGGCAATAAAAACTCACCCAAAAATTTCCACCATGCTGCCTGGGAGGAAGGGAGGACAGCACCACCCCTATGGAGATTCACAGATTTTGATGCTTTTGTTTTCAGAAAGATTTCCCTATATGAAGTTAGGTGGAAAAAAACCAAAAAAAACAGAAAAAACCCTCACTTGTCCCATAGAAACTAGAGTTTGGGTCCTGAGATTTACATAATTTATATCCAATAGATTTTTTTCCCAATTGATTATGTGACTACTTTTGTTACATTGACAACAATACATTGTCTGAAGTCTGTTGTCACTTTTAAAAATAAAATATGCTTCCCATCTTCCTGATCACTGATCTCCAAGCATGATTTGGGCCTTACTGACAACCTTTTCTCCTTCTACCTGTTCTCACATTTTCCAAAAAACATAATTCTTCAGTCAGCTCATCCTTTACTCTTGTTTCAAAAAATCATTGAAATAACTTCATTTATTTTCAAATGAGGGTACAGAAGGAGTGAGTTAAGAGAACTCAATGTGGGATCCTGATAAAATTACAGAAATTCCAGAGCATTCCAATTGACAGTGATTTTTTCTTCTCTCACCTCCTATACTACAGTATTTATTTTCTCTAATATTCATTTGGTCAATAGTCATTGAGCCCTCACTTAGTTCCAGATACTGTAATGAGTTAGAGAATGCAAAGAGGACTGACAAGACATGTTTCCTGCCCTTAAGTTGCTCAAACTCCAGTCAGAGACAGACATATATACTTAATAGCAATTGTTACTGCTAGAAACCAGTCTGGTTTGCATAATCATCTGGAGCTTGGGGGAAGGTCTGGGATGGAAATGTCAGCTTCTAATGCATAAGCTCATATGAAAATGTATATAGTCCTCCTATGGCCATAATAACTGATATCTCATAATTAGCACTTATCAAATTCAAGAGTGATTGAAAAATCTTTTCTATGCCCTTGTGCCAACCCATGATAGGCAGGAAGAATTACTATTAGAAGTAGGAGAGGAAGCCAGTGTATAGTTCTTTCATCATAAGCTTTCACACAATTTATGAATTTTTCTCTTAGTATGGTCAATAATGATTACATAAGTTGTTGTATCAAATGAAGGTTTAAAAATCTGTATTTGAACTAACTGTCACATTCTTCATTATTGATCACTCTAATTTATGAAACTCTTCTCTTGTTTTTTTGTGATATCATTCTCTTGATTTCTTTCTTCTATTTTTGATCACCTTTTAGTGTTTTTGTTTCTTGACTCTTCTTTTGCTTGCACCTTAACTTTTGTTTTCCAGAGTTTCCTTTTAGGCTTTCTTATCACTATACACACTATACACATTCTCTGGGTTTTCTTATTCAAGTCCATGGCTGCAGCTGATGACTCCCAATCTATATACACATTGCAAACTTTCCCTGAGCCCCAGGTCCTATTTGAAAAAAAGCTACTATGAGTGGTAAATGAAAAAGCAAGTTGCACATCAAAATGATCATATTTATAAACAGAAAGACAAAAGGTACACGTGCGCATATATATGCATTTATATACATACAGAAATGCATAGAAAGGTTGCTGGAAGGATGATAAACTGCTGACAGTGGTTACATCTGCGGCAGAGAGGAGTGAGAGTGCTGATGGGAGGTAGCCAAAAAGGAAGATATTCATGTTTTGTTGCTTATATTTTTGTATTATTTGAATTAGAACATTTTTATGCGTTATTTAATTTAAGAAACATTAAAGACAAAATAAAGTTTTTAAAAAGAAAGCTTGCAGAAGTGTTTTGTTTTAGGACCTGCTAGTGTAAACCAACACAGATGTTTTTATAGCCTTTTATACTATTGATGTGCATATTTATTTCTACTTTATATCAATCTAGATATTAAAAATATAGACTCTTTTTTTTTTAATATTTGGTTTGCTTGTTAAGCCAGGAAAAGTAAAAATTTTGTAGTATTTGGTATGTTACCCAGCTATATGTAGTTCACTTTATTGTAGTTATGGATAGACATTAGCCAATACATAATTTTATGCTCTTTTAAAGCACTATAGTATAAATATCAAATATATATTACAACCAAACTAACTAGCAAATAATCTTCATTCCATAAATAGGATCACACTGCGAACAATTGGATATTACTGACTCAACAGAACCAAGATTGAACAAAATGGAATTTACAGAAGTAAGAAGTTACATTATTCAATATTTGAATTGAATTATTTTGCCAGTTTCAATTTTCTGTTGGTGGCTGTCACACATCATTAAATTAGTATTAAATGAACACACAAAACTTATTTTATACATTCTAAAATATGTACTTTAAAATATTTCAACTCCTCTGAAATGAGGTTACATTTTACAATTTCTTTCAATCAGTATCACGCATGATGTGAGAGTATAAAATACTACCACTGACATCTTCTGGTAAGATCAAGAAAAACCAGCATCTTATATTCAGTGAAATCTGCTTATTCAAACAATAATGAGATCTAAAACTTACAAAAACTTTCCTATGGGCCAGGCATCATACATGAACTTGGTGAACCCTCTCAGTAACCCTTTCCTCCGCTTTTACAGATGAAGACACCAAGATGTAGGAAGGTTAAATAACTTGCACACTGTTTCACACTTAGTAAAACCGGGGAAATTTGTATTCAGTCAGTTTTGTTTCAAAGTCTACATAATATTGCATATGAAAAAGTATGATTCTATTGTAATGGAATAAGTGAAATAAGCAATTTAATGGTACCAGAGTCCTAAGTCTTCCACAGCTTACTTGTATATTTTTTCATGTTTCTCCATTTCCCCTTGTTTTTCTCTGATGAGTTCCAGAGTCAAGGTAACTTTCTGTTTCTCTTTTCATATATCTTTGCGTGACTGAAGGTGAAGATTATGCACTATATACAGTTTCAAAGTTCTATATAAGGTATCTCTGGAATTCTTTTTAAAATGACTATTGTATAGATAAGAATTTGGCAAATTCTACCTGAGTTATGTTCTAACTGTGTTTTCTTAGATTCTGTGTTTGTCTATTTGTCATCCATTACTCACAAGGCCAAACTAATGGCCAGAGTTGTTTATATCTCCCCTGTGATCCAGAACCCATACTATGAACCACCTCCTTACTAATTCTCACACACTGAGCTAATATTTCTCCTGCTCTAAGTCAACCCAGGACCAGGTACCAGACAACCAGAGATAGCCCTTGTGCCTCAGAGTCTGCCAGAATTATTCAAACCAGCCAATCCTCAACTGTTTAGCCTGTTGTGGCTTGCATTTCTGGAAACTCCAGTAAGGATTCTGGCTTAGGCTGTCCCTTTCCTCCTTTCTGTTCTGCCTCTTGACCCAAACCTGGTGTTTCCCCTGTGGTCCTGCATGGTGTGGCATGCTTCCTTCACTTGGAAGTCTTAAGTAATAAAAATCTTCTTTCAGTGGCATTAGCCTCTCCATGTCATCGTTCATTTACCTCCATGAATTAAAATTCCACAGATACAAATGAGACAAGCTACTGGAAGAAAAATACACAGAGGAACAAATGATGGTATTAAAATGGTTCATGAAAAGTCAAAGCTTTATCTCTTTAATACAGAAATAAACATAACTTACATTTCTTTGCAAGGGACTGCCTATCTGCAAGGGACGTGCCTATTTGTCTTATATTAGTTTCCCTAAAAGTGGGCAAGTTAGAACATTTTCCTATTTTTTTCATTATAAAAGTAAGCCGGATGCGGTGGCTTATGCCAATGACTAGGGAGGCTGAGGCAAGAGGATTGCTTATGACCAGGAGTTTGGGACCAACCTGGGCAACACAGTGAGACCCTCATGTCTAAAAACAATTATAAAATATATTAATCTTATGATATGTGAATTGTATCTCCATAAAAGGTAATATAGGTTCATTATAGAAATTTAAAGACATAAAAGTGTAAAGAAGTAAAAAATTTTAAATCCACAATTTACCACCAATAAAAGCCACTGTTAACACTACATTTTTTTGTATAATAATAATAGCTAACACTTTTTACCCCTTTTTATGTGCCATATTGTGTACTGAGGTTATTACATGCACTTTCTTGTGTAATCGTCACAACTGAGTTATTATTATCTTCATTTTGCAAATGAGACCTAAAAAGATTGAACACTTTCCTTGAGATCACACAGCATGTAAGTGACAGAGCTGGACCAGACCCAGGTCAGCCTGACTTCAAAGCTCATCATGGTCTTGACCCTTGTGCTTTACAGTGTCTGTTATATTCATAGTGAGACATGTAAGGTTTCAGTTTTAATTTTGTGGGTTTTCCATATAGATTTTTGGTTATGCCTAATATATTGTATATCCTACTTTTTTCACTTAATATCATCTCTTGATCATTTCTCTATGTCAATAAATATTCTTTAAAACATGTTTAAAAAATTTTTTATTTTGAAATAATTATAGATTTACAATAAGTTGCAAAGATAGTACAGAGAGGTCCCATATACCCTTCATCCAGTTTCCCCAAAGGTTATATTTTCCATGACTTTAGTATAATATCAAAACTAGGAAATTAATGTTGATATAATGTGTGTGTATAGTGTTATGTTACTTTAGCACATGTAGATTTCTGTTACCATCACCAAAATTAAGATACAAAACTATTTCAGTACCACAAAGGTCTACTGGGGTCTACTGGTAATGACATTTTGGCAGTTCAGGGGAAATGTAGAAACCTTACCTTCCTTTAAGTCATTTTGCACTTTGCCACTTATAACATCATTGTCTTAAATATTTCTCATATATACATCACGTCAGGCACTGTTAAACTTTGCTTCAACTGTTAAACATCATTTAGAAAACTCAAGATGAGAAGAAAACTCTGTTGTATTTACCTGTGTTTTTTGCTTTTTTCATTGTTCTTCCTTCCTGATGTTTCAAGATTCCTTCTTTTACGCATTCTATTTAGAGAATTTCCTCTAGCCATTCTTTTAGAGCATATCTACAGATGAGACAAATTCTAGTAGTTTTACATTGTCTGAGAATGTCTTTATTTTTCCTTTATTCCTGAATGATAATTTCACTGGATATAGAATTCTTGATTGAAAGTTCTTTTATTTTAGCCCTAGAAAATGTTCTATCACTTCCTTCTATCATCTCCATAGATGAAAAATCTACTTCATTCAAATTAGTTTTCCTCAATAGGTAAAGTATTATTTTTCTCTTATGGTTTGTATTTAGTGTTCTGAACTCTGAAGACATGAATGTTAGATCTTTTATTGTAATCCCACATGTTGCTGAGACTCTGAGATTCTGTTATTTCTTTTTTCCTCTTTTTTTTTTTTTTGTCTGTTTTTCCCTCTGTTGTTCAGACTGGGTAAATTCTACTGTTCTGTCTTCAAGTCCATTGATTCCTTTCTCTGTCTTCACGCTGATGCTAAGCCCATACCTTGAGCTTTTTATTTCAGTAGTTTTTATTGTTGTTGTTGTTGTTCTTTTTGAGACAGGGTCTTGCTCTGTTACCCAGGCTGGAGTGCAGTGGCATGATCACGGCTCACTGCAGCTTCAATCTCCCAGGCCCAAGCCATCCTCCCACTTTAGCCTCCCAAGTAGCTGGGACCACAGTCATGTACCACCATATCAGGCTAAATTTTATTTCTGTAGAAACAGGGTCTCCCTATGTTGCCCAGGCTAGTCTCAAACTCCTGAGCTCAAGAGATCCTCTCACTTCAGCCTCCCAAAGTGCTGGGATTACAGGCGTGAGACACTGTGCCCAGCCTTGTTGTTGTTTTTTCAAGAAAAAAAAAAAAAAAAAAAAAGAGATGTGATTCTCCCACCTCAGCCTCCTGAGTTGTATTTTTCAAAATTTTCATTTTTTCTTAATGTCTTTTATTTCTTTGCTGAGACTTTTAAGTTTTTAATTTATTTTAAGCATGTTCATAATTGCTTGTTGAATTATTTTTATAGTGGCTGCTTTAAAATCCTTCTCAGATAATTCCAACAGCTGCGTCATCTCAGTGTTGGCATCTGCTGATTAAATTTTCTCATTCAAGTTGAGATTTTCCTAATTCCTCATACAATATGTGATCTTTTATTTTTTCTTGGACATTTTGGTTATAATGCTATTGATGCAGGACTTTTTGCTCCTTAGTTCAGCTAAAATCTAGGTTCTTGTCTCACAACCAGGGAAATGAGGCACGCAGACACATTGAAGGGTGAAGATGGATTTATTAGGCGAAAAGAAAGCTCTCCACAAAGAAAAAGAGGGTCCATCCAACAGGTTAACACCTCACAGACTGAATACCAGGTCACCATATGGGAGCCGAAGAGGCCTGGCTTCTCCCCTTGCATAAGGCGTGAATTCTTGGTGGCTCTGCCCCATTCTCCCGATGCACATGTGGGCCCCCAATCTGTTGCAGGCATGCCCAGGCAAGACCCTGTGCAAGGTTTCCTTAGCTCATCCTGCATCTATCACTATGAGACTTGGGATCTTACTTCCATCTTCTTTTAAAAAGCTTCCTCTGATACCATGCTGGTGGAAGAAGGGGAGGGCCACCTCTCTACTGCCAGGTGGGCATAAAGATCCAAGTTCCCCATTCAATCTCCGTTGCAATTTCAGAGGCAGGGGCAAGGTGCCTTGTTATTGCTCAGTGGAGGCGAAAGTTTTTGATTTCTCCAAACGTTAGATAACAATTTAGTTTTAGTTCAGTGTTGTGGAACCTCAGCCTGAGTTTCGTCTGGTCTGTTGGGCCTGGTTCAGGAGCTTAGTCCGAAACAACTGCCTTCTATAATTTTTATTCAATAACCCCACCGATCCTGAACTCTGTGGCACTTTTTTTTTTTTTTTTTTTTTTGAGATGGAGTCTTGCTCTGTCACCCAGGCTGGAAGTGCAGTGGTGCGATCTTGGCCATCCTGCAACTTCCCACCTCCCGGTTTCAAGTGATTCTCTTGCCTCAGCCTCCTGAGTAGCTGGGATTAGAGGGGTGTGCCACCACTCCTGGCTAATTTTTTTTTTTGTATTTTAGTAGAGACAAGGTTTCACCATGTTGGTCAGGGGTGGTATTGAACTCCTGACCTCCATGATCTGCCCGCCCTCGGCCTCCCAAAGTGCTGGATTACAGGCGTGACCACTGCGCTGGGCCTATGTGGGCACCTTGATTTGGACTTTCCAACCTCCACAGCTGTAAGAACATAAATCTCTGTTGTT